AGAATGGGTCGTCTCTGGGCTTTGACATTCACTCCCGTCACTTGTGACTTCCGAGTTCTGTCAAAGAGGGGCAACTGTAGACACCCCCTTGTAAATACAGTGTACAAGTGAGGTGCGTGTCAGGTGTGCTCTACACAAGTAGTCTATCAATGCAGTAGAAATCAGCATGTCATCAGAAGTATGATAAATGCCAGGAAAAACTGAAGGGTACCTGAATGCCCGCAACAGACAACTGTGCCTCCCTGCGTAGGACCATGCCCTCGAGTGTGGCTACCAGCTCAACTATCTCCTCCATGTACCCTCGCGACGGCTGCAAAAATAAGTTCATAATCATCAGTGAACAAATGAGTATCTAAACATCTGAAATGATGAATGACGAAAGTGGAGCGTACCGGCGGTGAGTCCGGATCAATGGCATATCGATCACTGGGCATCCGAGGCTCTAGTGGAACTGGAATCGGAGAGCTAGTCCCATACTGCCACGCCATCAACTCAGTAGGCATATCTGGCCATCCCAGATGAGGATGAATCGACGGGTTCGGAGGAAACGGTCTACTCCCACCTCTAGATGCGCCAGCCCTGCTAGAAGAAGGGATGTCTGTAGCCCGAGCCTGAGCCTGATCCGAGGATGACATACCGGCAGGTCTCATCATCGGAATACGAGCCTCTGTCAATGGAGGCATCAAGTATATGTGACGATAGGTGGCGTAGTCCCCCTCCGCAACATACAACAAAGCATCGCTGCCTAGCATGGCGCCGACTACCTCTGAGTAAGAGAGCCTGTCAGCGATCCGCATACTAGCCGGAGGTACCGCGGGAACATCCTGGGAAAGATACCCCCGTACCTGGCACAGAAAGCGCTCCCCCAGAAACCAGACTCTGCCGACTGGCCCTTCGAGCAGGACCCTATACCGGGAGATGCCTGATGCTCCGGTATACTGAAGTAAGAGATCATCACCCAAGGGTACCCAAGGCTGCCAAGTAATCTGCGGATGATAAATGTATAAACCAATCAGAAAACGAGGATATACAGAGGAAGTCAAAGACGAAAATGAAAAGAACTGAAACTTCTGAAGTACCTCTGAGTGTCGCACAGTGTCGAAGTACTGTCGCAGGCGAACCAGAGTCTCTCGAGGCCTCGCCCGGTGCGGGTGTCGCACAGTGTCGAAGTACTCTCGCAGGCGAATTAGGGTCTCTCGAGGCCTCGCCCGGTGCGGGCCCTCAAATATCAATGAATATGGGGTCACGGGGATCCCCACCACCTCCAGCACTGGGGCTAACGATGGGAAATATACGTAAGCCCATAGCTGAGAAAAGCACCGCAGAATGTAAGTACGAAATGCTGAGAGCAAAATGCAGGCTGTAAAAGTGCGCTGTGTGTGCAACGTACAAGTAATGAAGAGCAGAAATGTAAATCAAGGAGACAGATGTGTGTGCAATGTATAAGTAATGAAGAGCAGAAATGTAAATCAGGGGGACGAAAAATACCTCCCAAGCTCTCCAGTAGCCACCAAGCAAATCACCCCGCCCGCGGGAGGTCGCGCTCATGTAAAAGTAGAGGGTAGCCAGGCCAGCGCCACCCCAATCATATCTACCGACCTGTGATAGGTCGACTAGAGTGCTCAGCAGATATAGCCCAATGGTGTTCCCTCTGTCGGCGAACAGGGTAGTCCCGAAGAGGAACATCAGGAAACCACGAGCATACTGCTCTGTCTCCTCAGGAGTCTCGGGCACCATCTCCGCCCGCCGGAAATGGGAGGAGAACCAAGTATATCGGACTCTCCCAGAGACCCTGTCAACGGGTGGGCGAGCCCCCAGTAGATACATCCAGGCGGCCTCCCACTCGCCCATATCCTCATCATAGGGGATGGTCCAACCTCCGACATCAAGGCCGGTCAATACAGCAAAGTCAAAAGGGGTCATGGTCATGTCCCCGGTAGCAGAAAAATGGAAGGAATTGGTGGTGTCCCACCATCTCTCTACTAGGGCTGCCATCAAGGTCCTCCTGGCAGGACACCGTGACAACCCGGCGCAAAAGGGCCCGAACCCTGCCGCATCTATCAAATACCGGACGCCCTCCGGTAGCTCAGCGTACCAATCCCGTGCCATGGTGGAGCCATATCCTCGCACACTACGGGAGCCACCCTGCATTCAGAATGAATACATGTGTCAATAATGAAATGAATGGGCTGTGTGCCAATGAAATGAATGGGCTATGTGCCAATGAAATGAATGGGCTGTGTGCCAATGAAATGAATAGGCTGTGTGCCGATCAAGTGAAATGAGCTACATGCGAAATCTACCTGGGCTGCGTGTTCAGAGAATTTGAATTTTGGGCTGCGTGTTCAACTTTCAGTTAATTTGTGGGCTGCGTGTTCACTATCTACCTGGGCTGCGTGTTCAGAGCGCACCTCATCGCACTGTTTTGTGCAAAATACTTGCACGGGACTTAACCCTTGTCGCGATATGTAGCGCACCTCATCGCACTGTTATGTGCACAAAACTTGCATTTGGCATG